TAACAAACTATACATTTTAAACGATGAAATGTTTTCGTGTCATATACACTTTAAACAACTCGGTCAGTGCTTTCAAGTTATTCGGGAACACAATAGAAGCGATGACGTCAATCAGTAGGAAAAAAACCTTGCAATCGTCAACCAAATCAGTTCATTCACGGCGTGAAAATAAAATGAATAATAATAATAATCAAAACTAATAAACCATAAAGATGAGTTCAAGTGCTTTTGGTTCAGTATTCTGAGGACCTCGAAGCAAGCAGGACACTACTAGATTCGGATTTGGGATCCTATTAATTTCTGAACTCCTTGTAGTTGATAAAAGTAAAAAAAGATGATGATGAACTTGAACGTTTTTGGAAGTATTTGTATTCTACTTGTTCTCTTRGCGACTGTTTCTGCGCAGAATACAAGTAAGTCCAGTCCGTTTAATATATTCTTATTCAATTTCAATTTGTAGATACTTAAAAAGCGATTTAGATAGAAGGTCTATTCAAATATTTATAGTAAACTATTTTATCAGTACGTACAATTTCAACAATTTCCTCTTTTGTGGCTGTTACAAGGCGAATAAACCATCCCATTTTATACCCTTCCACGGTTTTTTCAACCTTTTACATACACTAGTTAGCAAAAATCCATCGATAATGCTAGAAAAAAAAACACCTCAAAATTGGTAAATTTACCAAGTTTGAGAATRATAAATAGGAAACAGGCGAAAATGTAGTCATGCGAAGTCATGAAATTTTACAGACGTTTGTATGGTGGGCCCCACCGTACGAAACGTCTGTAAAATTTTGCAACTTTACGGAGCTAAATCACCCTCTAACTTGGAAAATTTGCCAATTGTGAGGTGCGATGTCCAATGGTGTTGATCGATTTTTGCTAACTTGCTCATAAGAAAAGTTGAAAAAGGTTATTAAAAGAGGTTAGAGCTCCAGGGATGCATGATTCTCGCTATCAAGCTATGCGCTTAAATTGCCTGTGTTTGCTTGGTCCGCGTAGCAAAACTGACAATCCAAATAGCCTTATAATATTCTCTGCTCAAAGTTAAGTTCTTCTGCACACATTTGCAGTAGATTTATAAAAATTGGACAATTCAAAACATTTTAATTTAGAACGACAAAAAGAAAAGGCCACAAAGTTACAGTGCTTGTTTTGCGTTGTTTACATCAGAGGCTGTTTCTATTTTACAATATTTTTACAAGTATATAATAATCAAAGTTTTAACGCAAAATCTATCAGACTTATTCAATTCAAGTTGTATCAGTATGATATCGAAAATGATGTTTGAAGTTAAATAATGCATTCATTTGCAAAATCATTGTCGGTGGGTCGCGTCGGTCATCAGTCAGTCACTCGGTCAGTTAGTTAATATATCGCTGTGCTTATGGTTGTTTCATTGGTGAAAACAAGACACTAATCCTTTATATCTCAAAACCAACAGCAGCACCAAACACAACCGCAGCACCAAACACAACCACAGCATCAACAACAACCGCAGCATCAACAACAACCGCAGCACCAAACACAACCGCAGCACCAAACACAACCGCAGCATCAACAACAGCCGCAGCATCAACAACAGCCGCAGCAGGAAAAACAACAACAACACCAACTAAATCACGTAAGTTTGACAACCTGGAAATCTTTAACATTTATCATTTTCATATTTCAAAATTTAAAACCATCATTATACTTTTACCCCTGCTGACTGTGATGTATAGAACATATAAAGCTAAGACCGAAATGATAATGGGAAGTACGTTAATTAGATTTATCTAGAGATACATCACGTGGAATGTTCATAAATTGTTACACTGACAGAAAACATGGAGGATTTTAACACGTTTCATATCGACTATGTATCTMAAATGAATACATAAGAGAATAAATATGTCGTTAATAACTTGAAAGCACTGACAGAGTTGTTTTAAAAAAATGTTGCAACTATTAATATAGACCATATGAAAAAGCGCGTGCCCCTTGTGATACCTTAGTTCATCAGTTGGTGACAACAATGCTTTCATTAGAATTCGAAAGAGTATATCAAAATTAGTGATCTTCCAAAATTTCAGTGTAGTAATACTGGCAGAAATAAACCTGGAAATCTTTATTTTTAAATTTAAAAGATGTGAATGACCTGTGATG